TGTAAAATATTTAGAAACAAAATTATAATTTAAGAACCATTAGAGACTTATATGCAATTATGTTATTAAGAGACGTATATGCAATTATGAAAATTATTAAGGAGGTAATTGAAATAGAAAGACTTAAGATAAGAAATCCTAAATTTCTTATAAGAGTAAAAAGTTAGTTAATATATAATTTCACATTTTCAAACAATTAATACATTTTCCATATTTCTATTTTAACATTTAATGTAAATAGTTATATTCAAAATAGAGTGTGTAACAATAAATCAGTGAAAGCTTGACGTGGACTCAAGTTTGTAATGTCTGGCAATATAAATTATTGTAGGAGCTCTAGGTAAATATTTAGTGTGGTCCTTAAAAGACAGCAAAAATGAATATTAATTTACTTAATGAGAACAAAAGAAACATCCTCATACTTATTAGAAGCTTCGCAATTTGAAGATTGTATGGTACTCAAACTTTTATTTAATTAAATATGAAGACAGAAAATTATTCACTTGATATATTGCTATCTTTTGGAAAGTATTCTAGAAAGACTCTTATAATATAGCTTCTTGGATCACGATTGAAAAGTTTATTACTTATTTTAAGGAATATGGTTATGAATATTAGTCACTAATGTGTATGGTTGAAAATGTTAAATGATTTTCTTGGAATGTATGAAAATCATATTTTATTTAACTTAAAACTTACGATGAAAGGAAAGTTGATAGCAAAGTAAATGAGGTGTTTGGAATAATATTCATAGCATTGCATTAATCTTCTTCCTCCGAAAGTTTTGGTCCAAGGTTGAAGGTCCTACTCTGCTTGATTTCATCAATTTTTTCATAGTCCTCTTTTGTTAATGACCAATCAAATATTTCCAGGTTTTGCTTCATTCTCTCCTTGTTGTAGCTCTTAACCACGATACTTACCCCTAACTCATACAACCATCTAAGGGATACCTAATAAATTAAAAAGAATTAATTAGGTCAGTTTTTTTTAATTAAATAAGTGTGAGTTTAAGTCTAATATTATATAAAAATAAAAAAATTTAAATATCATATGAAAAAATTATAAATTTAATATTTATTTTAGATTAAAAGTGGTTTGAATCATTTATATAAATTGGAATCAAATTATATTTATATAATCTCTTCATAATCTGTTCGGAAGTATTGAAACCAAAATGCTCATTTACATGATATTGTTTTGTTTTTATGTTTGATTGAAATACGAAGTATAAAGTTGTTTGGGCATTTTGACATCTATGTTTGAGAAAGGAAGTTGAATTTAAAATTATTACCTGAGCAACAGATTTGCCATGAGCTTCTCCAATTTGGTTGAGCAATTCATTGTCCATTACTTTATTAGAACCCCAGAAGCTTCCTACGGATCCCAAAGGACTACACGCAGTTACAACTATACCCTCTTTTTGGCATAATTCTCTCAACTTCTTTTGTTGCCAAGTAGGATTCAACTCAACCTGTTTCACACTATTCAAGTCACCATCCAATTCATTTTTATCTAAGATTAAAAGTCAGGAAATGGTATTGAAAATTTTAATATTTCTAATTAATTTTATATCGTTTAACTTTTTATTAATTAGGGGATTTGTGTGATATATTGTCCTTATATTACTTCCTTTTTCTTTACCTGTTAAAAATGAGGATTAACTATTATAATACCTAAGTTAACAAGTAAAAGGCTGGAAAATGGTATAATAAAAATTGAATAATTTTTTCTAATCATTTTTTCTTTTTTAGTATTGTAAAAGTTTATCTTTTTAACAATCATATTACATTTATAAAAACAATGTATTATTGTAAAAACATGATTACAAATTATGGGCTTACTTGATTGACAGAAGGAGGAATAGTAGCAAAAGAAAGGAGGTTTTCAAGTTTATGACAATTGAAATTGCTGACTCCAATGAATTTTGTAAGGCCTTGCTTTTGGCACTCCTCCATTGCTTGCCACACACCCTTTAAGTCAAATGATGTTATTGCCTCTTCAGGAAAAGGGTAATCCCAATCTCCATGAATCATTGCAACGGGCCATTGAACCAAATAAAGATCCAAATATTTCAAGTTCAAAGACCTGCATTAGTTTTAGGCCCCACATAGCCCAGTTTTTAATATTCAAAATTACACTCTACCATTAATTAAAATTTATTAAAATTATAAAATCAGCAGAGGAAAAGACATTAATAAGTAATATTAGTTGGTAATATATTATTATTGTAATCATAATTATTCTCATATAATATAAGGTAATATAGATGCAATTGACGAATTTTATACTTACTGAAGTGTTTTATAGATAGCAGGAAAAACAAGATGAGGAAAATTATCAGTGCACCAAAGTTTGGAAGTGATGAAGAGATCGTCTCTAGAGGCTATGAGGCCAAGTTGAAATGCTTCAGCTATAGCTTCTCCAAGGGGTTTTTCAGAGCCATATATTGTTGCAGTGTCAAAGTGTCTGTAACCTACTTTGATAGCTTCTAACAATGCTTCTTTGGTGCCAGCGATGAAAGGTGAAGCAGTGCCAAATCCAATCACAGGCATTTTGTGATGATTCGAAGAAGATTGAAGCACCACATGAGGGATGTTTGATGAAGACATGTTTCTTTTCGTCACAATGTAATTCGTCAAAATGTGTTTAGATGAATTGATATCCCATGAAAAAAAATGAAACTATGACTATTTTTATAGGTGTATATTGTTATGAATTTATTTATTTTTAATTAAATTTATTTATTAATATATTATCAAAATTTATCTAGATAAGATTTGTTGAAACCGATCATCCATAAATATTTAGGTCTTATATCAATTAAAAATAAAATTAACTTAAAATATATAAGTAATCACAATATTGTATTAATTTCTATGGTAATTTGACTCTATCTCTTATTTTTTATAATTATCATGTCAGTTTATAGAGATGTATCATGGTCCACTGAGTGTCTTTATAAATATATTTATTAATAATTAATGATATATTTACTGTCAAAATTACTATTAATGAGACTAACGTGACATATAGTTAATATTACTATTTATTGTATTTAACTTTTAAATTTAATGTCATTAATGTATAAAGTGAAGGCTATATTAATGTGCATGAAATGCTAATATGTATTATATTTATTAGATATGACTTGTAATTATTATACATGAGATTCCTTTTTGGTATAATAATTGTTTTCTAAATTTATCCTTTAAATTAAAATAAATAAATAAATTCTTCTATTTATTTTCTACATTTGTTTTCCAAATTTATTCTTTAAATAAAATTTTATTTTAAATCAAAATAATTATATTACTAATTTGTTTTATTTAACTTATCCTTTTTATAATTCGACTTTTTTAAAACTTAACAATTTTTTAATTATAAAACTGTTTCTAAAATAAATAAAATTGTAAAAACGTATAAAATAGAGTATTGAAGTTGATATGTATTTTAAAATAATGAGACCAAGTGTTTTAAAGTTAAAATAATTCAATAAAATAAATATAATTTATTAAACTCGTCTCGTTACTTGAAACCCAAAACATCTTTCTAAAATTTTTTCTCTTAATTTCCTCTCGTTTCTTTCTAAAATTTCTAACTCCTCGATCATATGTTTGATGATCAAGAAGTTCATAGGAGATCACAGTTGAGTAATTTCCAGTTCTATCCTATCCATTTTTAGTATAAAGCAAGTAAGTTTCGACTCTTTTTTCTCTTTCGTTCTTAGTTTGAGATCATGCATAAGGATCCTTCCACGCATGTGTTTTAAGATTTCTTCTCCTAATTCTTTGGTACTCTATGTAATCTTTCTTTCATTTGATACAAATGCATGTTAATTAATTATTTTATGTATGATTTTAGTTTGTTTTGACCGATTATTTTTGTGTTCTTGTCCTTTATAGGTGGATTCTATTTTCTCTCTCATTGGTGACGACACTTTATTCCGACAAATCCACCTTTTGAAGGTTAGTTTTTGTTTTCGTTTTGAAGAACTTATTTGTTAAACTTGTTTGTTGTTTTTTTTATTGAACTTGTTTGTTGTTGTTTGGTTGAACTTGTTCGTTGTTGTTGTTTGGTTGAACTTGTTTGTTGTTGTTTGATTGAACTTGTTTGTTGTTGGTTATTGTTGTTTGTTGTTGATACTATCCTACACGTTCATAGTCTATGCTTTATAAAATACCAAAAACTGAAATTTGTTTTTTCTGCTTTTCAGGTTTAGTAGAATTGTAAAAAAAGATCACAATTAATTAAAAAATAATAATTAACGTCGTATATTGACAAAATTCAATGTTAATTAATTTAACGTTGTATATTCACAAAATTCGACGTTAATTTAACGTCAATTTAACGTCTCTCGATATGATGTCGGTCTCGAATTCGACATGAAAGATCCAAAATATTCAACGTTGTACGTTGTTTTTGTACTAGTGATACACTAATTTATATTTTAATCAACACTAATTTATATTTTGAACGAGTAAACTGTACATATTTCTGTATATCTTTTATACGGTTAAAGAGTCTACCTTATTTTTGCACATATTTTATTTTTTTATATTTTTATAAAGTCTACTATTTATATTTTTATAAATATATTAACTTTTAAAGTTATAAATTATTTTAAAATTGATTTTATTCAAAATTTAAATATACACTTAAAAATATTTATTGGTTTTTTTCTCTATCTCTAATTCATTTTTAATAATACACAAATCAATATCAATCCGTGTGTAAGCACGAGTTTAAATCTAGGTTAAAAAAGTTATCATCGAGTTCACTCCAATGGACTTTTAAAGCAACTTATTGTGATTTTAAAAATTGTAAAACAAAGCAAGACACTGAAACTAATAATCTTTATTAGATTCATGTAGAAAATGATAGAACATATGATTTTCTTGGAATGTATGAAAATCATATTTTATTTAACTTAAAACTTAAGATGAAAGGAAAGTTGATAGCAAAGTAAATGAGGTGTTTCGAATAATATTCATAGCATTGCATTAATCTTCTTCATCCCAAAGATTTGGCCCAAGGTTGAAGGTCCTACTCTGTTTGATTTCATCAATTTTTTCATAGTCCTCTTTTGTTAATGACCAATCAAATATTTCCAAATTTTGTTTCATCCTCTCCTTGTTGTAGCTTTTAACCACGGTAATTACCCCTACCTCGTACAACCATCTAAGAGATACCTAATAAACCACAAAAAACTGTTAGTATTGACACAAATAAACACACACATCTATATAATAATATAAAGCCATTATTTTAAGGTTTTATATTGAAAGTATTATTAAATAAACTCAAAATCACATTTATATAATTTTCCTATAATGAATAATCTTTTATAAGGAACTCCCTTCAGCCCCACATTGGATAAATATTGGAATCAAAATGCTTAATTCATATTATTACCTGAGCAACAGATTTGCCATGAGCTTTTCCAATTTGCTTGAGCAATTCGTTGTCCATGACTTTATTGGAACCCCAAAAGCTTCCTACCGATCCCAAAGGACTGTACGCAGTTACAATTATACCCTTTTTTTGGCAGAATTCTCTCAACTTCTTTTGTTGCCAAGCAGGATTCAACTCAACCTGTGTTTCAAGGTATTAAAGTTAGCATTTAATTCATTTTTATGTAAATTACAATATTAAAGACCGGAAATGGTTTAATAAAAAATATTTTATTTAAATTTTAAGTTCCTTATAAATTTTAATATTTTCTATTAAATTTTTATTAAAATAAATATCTATTGGTATGCAAAATTTTAATATTTTTTAGTTTAAGTTTATATTGGTTAACTTTTTATTAATTAGGATATTTGTCTGTTATATTATTCACATTCAATGTTATTTTAATTATTATAAAATAATATTAAAACAATAAAAAAACATAAAAAAAAACATTTATCGTCTTTTATTAACTGTTAAACTATGTAAATTAAAAGGTAAACAGATAGAAAGGGTACTATAAAAAGTTAATAATTTTATCCCATCATTTGACAGATTTTTCCTTTTTTAGAATTACAAAAAAATAAATAGCAATCATATTACCTTTAAAAACAAGGTATAATTGTGAGAACATAATTACAAATTTATGGGCTTACTTGATTGACAGAAGGAGGAATAGTAGCAAAAGAGAGAAGATTTTCAAGCTTATGACAACTGAAATTGCTGACTCCAATGAATTTGGTAAGGCCTTGCTTTTGGCACTCCTCCATTGCTTGCCACACGCCCTTTAAGTCAAATGATGCTAGGGCCTCTTCCGGGAAAGGAAAATCCAAAGTTCCAGGATTCACAGAAATGGGCCAGTGAATTAAGTAAAGATCCAGATATTCCAACTTCAGACACCTGCATTAGTTTTGGGTTCCACACAAAAATGTTGCTTCAGTATGGGAAATAGACGATGTAATAATACATTTTTCAAACACTCTTTTTAATACTTAAAAGGTAAAATTATGGTAAACTTTAAATCTAACAACTAATTTATAAAATAAGTTTTAGCCTCAATTGTATATTTTGAAATTGTCTTATATCAAGTTTATATGAAATTTCGTGTTATCTCATGTCTATATGAGATCTCCCACACATCTTTCTCATGTCAAAGCATATATATCTCATACATAAGACTAAACATTAATAAATGGTCTCATTAATGGATGGTCCAACTACCAAATAACATGTGAAACAATACACCCAACAAATAACAAATCTTGTTAGGATAAATTTTAACTCATGACTCTAATATCATATTAAGAAGTAAATTTTAAGCCTAATTATCCGTATAAAACCAGTTTATAAATGTGAGGTTTGGTTTCACTTATATATTATAAAATCACATTATCTCTAATGAACGTAAGATCTTTAATATATTCATGAAAATATGGGATCTTTAATAAATTTTAATTTTTGTTCAATCAATACATACTTACACAAAATCTTAAAACATATTCAAGTGAGTGAGTGTACAATGGTATGCAAATGCATGTACACATGTAATTGAAGAGTTATGCACTTACTGAAGCATTTTGTGGATGGCCGGAATAATAAGATGAGGAAAGTTATCAGTGCACCAGAGTTTGGATGTGATAAAGAGTTCGTCTCTGGAAGCTATGAGGTCAAGTTGGAGTGCTTCAGCTATGGCTTCTCCAAGGAATTTTTCAGAGCCATATATTGAAGCAGTATCAAAGTGTCTGTAACCTAATTTGATAGCTTCTAACACTGCCTCTTTGGTGTCAATAGGGGAAGATGTTGAAGCAGTGCCAAATCCAATCACAGGCATCTTGTGATGGTTCAAAGAAGATTGAAACACCACATGAGGGATGTTTGATGAAGACATATTTTTTTGTTACAATGCAATTAGTCAAAATGTGTTTAGATGAATTGCATATTCAATGGAAGGAAACTATACCTCTGTTTTTATAGGAACATAATGCATAATGAAAAAGAATTAAATTCAATTAAATTATAAATTTTTTATAAACATTTTTTATAGCAAATGTTAGATGTTAATTAGTTTTACTAACGAGAAGATAATATAAGAAAGTTGAATCCAACTTTATATTGATGGGAAAACTGAATCCACAACCATTTTTACCTTTCCTTCTAGACAAATGCTAGTTGTTAGTTTTGTCAAAAATAAAAAAATTATTCAATTAAGTCGTTAAATTGATATTAAATTTTTGTTAATATGAGTACATATATTATTGATTGATATATAGCTATTATCTAATCTACCAAAATATTGAAAAAAGAGAGTATATGACTATGTGAACATTATGATAAAAATTATATTATCTTAAAAAAAAGTTTGAATTTAATATATCTATTTATTTAATTTTACTATCTAAATTAAAATTTATTTATTCTATTATTATTAGAGTGGTTTATATTTTCATCATTTTATAAAGATGTTCTATAGATTCCGAGCAAATGATGATATGAAGTCAATTTAGATTTTATAAATGGAAAAAAGTTTTATCAAATCGATTTTGTGGTAATGAGTTAAGTTTAGGCTCATGTTCTTAATATGATATTAGAATTTATCTTAATAGGATTTGTTAGTTTTATCATGTCACTTATTATTAAAACATGAACTACTAATAAATATTTACTCTCATACATCACATGTTCATGTCTATGTCTATGTGTGAGGGATATTGTAGATCATATATTAATAGATTATACAATTAATTTAAAATATATAAGTAAGAAAAATTTAATATCATGTTGATCATATAAAACTCTTGGTCTTAATAATTATTATTTCAAGTTATTGAGATGTATCACCATCAAATTATATTTATAAATACATTTATTAATAATTAATATTATATTTATTATCAAAATTATTTGTTTAATATATAATTAATGCTACTATTTATTGTATCTATTGTTTAAATTTAATGTTATTAATAAGCATGTGAAAAAATAAATAATTTTAATTGAAATATTTAATGTCTAAGTTTAAGACTACATTAGTATGCATGAAATACTACAAAATTATAAACTAATTTATAAAATCAATTATAAAATATTTTGTTTAAAAATATTTATTTATATTTTTTTTCGCTAACAATATAATCTTTTTAGGGATGGCAAATAAACTTGTCTCTACATTAATATGACCCAAATTCATTTTCATTTTAACGAAAAATTCTCACATTGATTGAATTTTTGTAATTAAGTATGGGTATGAATAACACCTAACTTTTTCAATTAAATATGAGAATGTGAATATATATATATATATATATATTATTCTTACTCTTTAGTTTTATACTATTTCTTTTAGCTAGATACTTTTTAATTATTTGACTTATTTTCAAATCAATTCACGTCTATGTGATATTTTCTCTTATCTTAATCTTTGTGGAGATGTTCCAAAAATTTATGTTAATAAAATATATTTTATCTTTTATATATGAATATTTCTACCTTTTTAATATATTTTACTTTTTTACATTAGAATCTTTGTCTTTCAATCTAAATGTTCAATGACAAACTTTTAATTTACTAGGCAATATAAACAATTTGTTTTCTTCATTATCTTACTGTTAATTTTTGTTTCATTTGAATAACTATTTTTATTTTGCTAAAATAATTTTCATTATCTCTCAACAGCTTGAATAGTTTGATATTTGAAAAGATTCCTTACATTTATAAGGTATTTTTCATATTATCATACTTTTAATTATATTTTTTTTTCTTTCTAGGATTTCATTGGTGCATCAAATTGTTTTCATTACGAAACATATTTGATTAATTTTACTTTTTTTAATATTTTTATTTGTTGCTTAGTTTTATCATATAAAATACTATTTTTATATTTTTTATTTGATTATTTTATTTTCTAAGTCATTAGCATAAAAGTAAATCTATCACTACAATTACAATTGTATAAAAAAAGTATTTACTATCATATAATAATTTAATGTTACTGTCATAAATTTTATTTATTACCATTCAACATATATTGAAAATTAAAGAATGAAAAATTTATGATAATTTTAATTATTATTAATTTAATATTTGTTCTTTTTATGATTTTATTCAAGTGATGAATTATAATTATTATTAATGTATAAAGAAAAAGATATCATTAGAATTTAAAGAGTGGGATAAAAAGACATTTAAATATTTTTAAATTTGAATATTTGATTTTTTTCTAATTTTTTGAAGATATTTTTAAATTTTATCAACTTTGTCTCATTTGATAATATTAGGTTTCTTTTGCAAGATTTTTTTTATATATAAAAATTAATGGATTGATATTAGGGATGACAAAAAACTTGTGCTTGTGGATATCATGGATAAAATGAAAGATGGATAGTTGATACTCACATATATTTATTATTGGTGAGAAATGAGGAGCGATATTTTAATACTCCGTTATAAACACGTCAGGTGCAAATATCATACTATCTATACATGTAGGTATCTATTACCCGCAAAAACTTAAATACAAAAATTTAATATATATTTTATTAAATTAAAATTAAAATTAAAATTAATATATTTTAATAAGTTAAATTTAATTAAAATTAAATGTTAATTTATATTATATTTTATTATATTTTTTGTAATTTTATTTGGATTTTATTTTAAAGGTTTAATACCTCTTTTGGTCCCTAGAAAGGGGGTCAATGTTCAATGTTGTCCCACCTTTTTTTAGAAGTTCAATGTGATCCCATCTTTTGTAAAAAGTGTGCAATCAAGTCCTTTTTGTAAACGGCGTTAAGTTTTTAACGGAGCAGCTGACATGGTGGACTGAAGTTAGCTACGTGGCTTTGTGTGGGTAATACGTGGCAAAGAGAGGGTGATACGTGGCTGTGAGAGGGTAAATCAGAAATTAGGGTTTGAGTTGCAGAAAAATTGGGATTTATTGTCGCCTTCTTCATTCGTCGAACGCAGCCTGGAGAAAAGCCGAAAGAAGAGCACCACCAACAAAGGAGAACTTCACGCCGATTTCAAAGATGGCTAAGAATTTCTAAAAAGGCGTTACAACA